ACCGACTGAGGAAAAAGCGAGGTATTCTGTAAAACTCAGTCACCTGCATTTCATGGTATAGCCGTTCTCAACGCTATATCGGTTAGGTCATTGTTCGGGTTACCAAAGGCCGTGCAAGCTGTTGGAGAACTGAGACAGACTACGGAAAGACGACGATCAGAACCTGCTTCTGATCGCTGGCAGTGTAGCAGCACGTCAACAACTGCCGAAGATTGACAAAAAAGAGCTACGACGAAGATTTTAGTCAGAAACGGAGCCGCTACTCATTCTGAACTGATGAGGCAGACAGTGCGATTATAGCACGTCAGATAAAGCTCCAATTAAACGATATCGGCAGTAGAAACCAAAACCCAAAATTCAAAACATCTTCTGACCCAGAGGGAAAGCGTAAGACCTCGTTGATAAGGCCGTAAAATACTGATCTGACCTAGATTTTCGACAGTGCTCTGGAATTTTAAACCCCTGCTGATGGAAACCATGCTACTCAGATGTCGAACATCACGGCACCCTTTCAGGTCGATATTGATTTCTCCAAGAACCCAGTCTGGTTTGTAGAATCATTGAAGGCAAGCCTGTCAGTGGAAGAGTGGCAATTCTGCGACTGAAGCTGAAACAGGCCAAAGTTCTGATCTTGTTACCGATCTATGCGTAGAATATGAGTTCTTCCTGAAGAAAGTGGAAAGTGCTGCTTACGAAGTGCTGATTACGGAATTCACGGAATGGTCGATTTTAATGTCTGTCAGAGTAGACGCTGAAAGGTGTTAAAGCGTGGTTGGAGAGCACGACCCTAGCGACCTCAACAATAACGGCATGAAGTTGTTGCGGTTTTGTATAGACAACGGACTACCTGTTGCCAACACCTTCTTGGAGCTTCGAAACGTGCATGATTATGCCTAATATCGTTAAGTTTATGCTCAGAAGTCCATCATCGATTGGATAACCGTATCGTCTGACTTAAGAAGCCCTATTTTAGATGTTCGTGTTATAAGAGACGCAGAATTGTCAACCGATCATCAGATTTTTATTGGAATCCTCTGTTGAAAACTATGGAGTACATTGTGAAGAACTGCCGGCAGAAGCAACCGGAGAGTGAAGGGTGAAACGTTATCTTCTGCGGATACGAAACTTACAACGGTATGATCAGATTTCAGATGCCTACCAAGCTCAACAGTGGCACCATTAAGTCGTGGCGGTCTGTGCATAACACAACAACGTACAATTTATGAACACCTTCTTCAAGCATCGAAGCGTGCATCAGTGTACGTGGCATGGAAAAAGGTTTTGCCCAGAAATCGATGATCAATTTGATAGTTGTACCGTCTGACCTCTGCAATGGGCAATCGCTTTAAGAGAGGAGCAGAGCTATCAACCACAATCTTTTTGTGGTGGCCATTCTGTACAGTAAACGATAGAGTGCCATGCGAAGATCTGCCGTCAGAAATAATGAGGGAAAGAAATGGGAAATATTATCATCTGCGTATACGAGGGCAAACTAATCAACAACATCTCGGTTTAAATAGATTACGGGTATGACCGCTGATGTGGAAACCGAATGAATGGTCTTTAAGAGAGGCTTACTCAGGGTTGCCGCCTAATGTTTTGGTTTAAAAAGCGTTGACCTGCCGCCTGGAGGACAGAAACAAACTTTCTGGTGAACACGAAAGTACAGGTAGCAGTCATTGAGAAGAGGGCTGCATTCTGTAGATGACTTGGAAGCATATAGTCTTTAACTCGAATGAGCTACGAAGAAGCGTTCATGTCGCAAAGCAGTTGTCGAAGCGAAAGTGATTCCTGTGAGAGATTCGGCGAAGAACAAACTAAGAATCCTAAAGAACAAGTCTGAAGACAGTCTTATCGAAGACGAAGACAAATTTCAACAATGGATAGACTGCTTTGAGAAATTTCTTAACCCCTGAGCAACCAGAGGAAGACTTATCTGAAGAACAACAGGCAACGAATGTTAGTTTATCAGTGGATGAAGTCACAGAAACTGTGCTGTAGAAAGCTTGAAAAGTACCAAAGCTGCTCAACCGATGAAATTCACCTGGAAATGCTTCAAGTATTGGATGATGCAGGCATGTTGTGGTTAGCGCGTGTCTCAAATAGCAGTGACTACGGGGAGGACATACGTAAATTTGGCAATACAAATATTACACCATAATTGATTAAAACCTTTGGCAATGTTCTTATCTGTCTTAAATCGAGTTTTCCTACATCACAAGAAAGTTTTGATTATTTCCTACTTTTGATTCAATAGTTGTAAATTCATGTATTTCGTTTCAGTGCTTACTACAACTAAAATGATAATTGCCGATGAAACGGGTTTGTGAGTGCAACAGGCCAGACAGAGAAGTGGAGCAAATCTTTGTGTCATCAGCAAGTGATTTCCGGCATGAGAACTGGTTGTAAATTTTGTCAGTACTACTGTTGCAGTAAGAAAAGTTTTGTTTGCATGTCCAGACATAGCGACTACTCACTGCTACTTGCCATTTTAAAGTTGTTTGCTTCCAGAGGGTTTACCGGGCGATGTCATTAGACTTCGACATTTTGTTTCCTTGAATGTCATAGCCATGTGTTGGTATTTACTTGACAAACTTTTGCCGCAGTGCTGACGAGATCAGACGCACTTTTCTACTAAACATTAAAGCGTTTCTCTCTCCCTCTCTTAACGCTGATTCAGCGATCTATGGCATTGATGTAGTCTTCTTTTTATCGCTTAAAAGTGGCGAAACCGGAATTTTCACACGTAGCCTTCCCGTCTGAAAACCTTGCTGAAACTTTTCTATTTTCGCTCACTAGATGACTATTTGCGTGTTGTTTGGTAAGCATTTTGCATTATAGTTCCGACGATTAATGTTTTTGAGAGGATCGTTTGCGTCAGACATGCAGTGGAGCAACTACATGACTTAAAATTTTTACGCCATTAACTTCATTCGAAACTTTAATTTTCAGTATGTAATTTTGCGTTAGCGTTTGCGTTTCTTGGTTATACTCATCCTTAGCTCTGTTCGCGTGACGTCAGTTCCGGTTACGCGTCTTTCT